AAAAAAAATTCCAGAATAGTTTATTCACTCATTCAACAGATATTTACTGAGCTCCTATTTGTGCTAAACACTGTTCTAAATACTCAGAATACACAGCACTGAAGAAAAAGAGGTAAGTTCCAAATGGGGAGCATAAACAAATAAAAATGTAACTTCAGGTGGAGATAAGGCTATGAAGGAAAAAAAGCCATATGGGAGGAGAAAGTGATCGGGGTAATACTGACATTTTAAAAAAGACACTGGGGGCTGTGTGGAGAAACGCTGCAGAGAAGCAGAAGCAAGATACTGCACCATGCCAGCCAGGAGATAATGGCAGCATGAACTAGAGCAGACTGGTTGTATTTCCAAATATAATCCAATAAGTATGGTAAGAGTAGGAAACCTAAGTTTTACATTTATATAATGAAAAAACCTTGCCCTGATTACCTGTTGAAGATATTGTCCTTGTTCACCCTTCTCCGCAAACTGTGGGAAAGCCATGTGCAAAAATTGTAGGAGAATAATGGGTGGAATACTAGAAGAAGTTTTATCCATGGAATCAAACAAATCTCTAAGGGCTTAAAAACAAAACAAACTTTGCCTTAGTAAAATTGTAACATATTTAATACATACTACTATAAATTCTTAATTAATACAAACAAAAACCTGCCTAATTTTTCTTGTGTATATTTTTGCAACTGCTGAACTCCTAATGAGAAAAAGAAAAATACTCATTTTTAAATCTTAAAGAACTCACCAGAAGATCTCATAACGAAATCACTAGGTAAAACAACTTCTGAGTCCTGCCCTTCTCTTTCTCCTTGCCAGCCTTTGTCTTCCCAAACAAAGCAGGGTGTATTAATTCAATACAGAGAACACATAACCTCTGTTCAGGTATCAGACATATACTCTTCTGCTACTCTACCATAATCAGGCCATCAGCTTACCACTTCCAACTCACCTTCCTTTAAACCTATAGTTGACTTCCACCTACTGAACGTCTGGATATTGAAATCTGGCTCCCTAAACACACTTCCTAACTCTACCAAACAGCTAAGAACCAAAATTAATTTGCCGCCTTCACAACCTTTCCCTTGCTCATCCCCAGTCACCAGCATAACTCTCATGGTCACGGTCTCAGCTGTGCTCTCAGAGTGCAGCACACTTCTCCTCTACTGGCTTCCTTGCTATCATACTTTGCCCTTACTTCATGTACAGCAAAACTCTATAATCGAGCTTATTTTGATTTGTACTGTTTCGTTAATACCCAAGATGCAAGATGTCATCTATCATTGTTATACAGACTGAATCCAGCAAATACCACAGCATCTCAGCACAAAGCAGGGGCTCAATAAAATGTTCCTGAACAACAACGAAAAAAAACTAAACACAATGTTTAAAAAATATTTTTGCAGGGCAGGCTGAAATTTGGCCATACTTACCAAGCTAATTATTTTTTAAACAGAAGCCTAAATTTTAATAATACTTTAAAGTACACACTACTCAAAGTAAAACAGATAATTTAAGACAATATATACCACCGACAGAGCATCTCAAAAGTATTTCATTAGTTTGAAAGATAAAGGTCAAGAAACACAATCTAGATTAAAAGAGACTAATAAGACATGAGAACAACTAAACACAATGTGTGATCCTAAATTGAATCCTGAAGCAGGAAAAAAAAATTTTTTTAGGGAGAATATTGGGACAATTGGCAACAGAATAAAGTCTGTATTTCAGAGTATCAAACCAAACAGTGTTAAACTCCCAGATTTAGAAAATCAGTTAATTGTCTTGTGGTTATGAATGCCCTTATTCTTAGGAAAGACATACTAAAATATTCAAGAATAAAAGACATAGTATCTGGCACCTTATTCTAAAATGGTTCAGAAAAAAATTATATGTATCGTAGAGAAAAGAGAAACCAAATGTGATCAAATGTTAATATTTGGTAAAATCTTGCAACTTTTCTGTAAATTTAAATTTATTTCAAAATAAAAAATTAAAAAGTCAAGAAGTAAAAATGTAAAGAACAGTATTTTTCATTCCACCAATACTATAAGACTACTATATGATGCTGAAGAAATTGTTGAAATTCTGAGTTACTCTTACATACAAGCAATCAAATAAACTAGATACAAATGATCACATTTTTCTCATTACAACCATCATTTCAACAAATAAATCTACTTTCAGGAAAAAAGATTAGAGTAAAATCTCTCTAACTCCAAATGACACAAAGAAGCCTGTTTATGATATTAAAAATTAATGGTTGACCAGAATGATATACCACTTTATACCCCTAGGAGAGTATAGCTAAGTGTTGGAAAGGATATGGAGAAATTGGAACCCTTGTACCCTTCTGGTAGGAATCTAATATGGTGCAGCTACTTTGGAAAACAGTCTGCCAGCTCCTCAAAAGGTTAAATGTAAAGTTACCATATGACCCAGCAATTCCACTCCTAGATATATACCCAAGAGACATAAAAGCATTCATCTATAAAAAGACTTGTACCCAAATGTTATCAGTATTTATAATAGCCAAAAAGTGGAAACAACCCAAATGTCCATCAATGATAAATGGATAAATGAAATGTGGCATGTCCATATATAATGGAATCTTACTTAGTAAAAAAAGAACAAAGAACATGCTACATTAATGTGGATGAACCTTGAATACATATGC